TAGTAGTAGTAGTAGTAGTAGTAGTAGTAGTAGTAGTAGTAGTAGTAGTAGTAGTAGTAGTAGTAGTAGAAGTAGTAGTAGTTGTAGTAGTAGTAGTAATTAAAATATTTTAACTCCAGATGATTTAATCTATGAAGGACCAGTTTATCACGCTGCTAAAAATAAGAAAGGTGAAAATGTTTTTGCTTACATTTATTTGTCTGATTGTTGGACAAATATTTTTGTATCAGAAAGAATTTTAATGAAACTCTCAGAAAGAACTCACAATGATTTTAGAAATAGTAAAACTGGATATAACTCAGTAAATCTGACTAACATTAAGCTAAAACTTGATGTTGCAGTCAGTCATTCACAACATATTCGGAACATGACAGCTTGTAGTAAATACAGCATGAAACTGCACAGAAAGTTAGTTTGAGATCAACACCAACCCTAATTCTCATTCACTCTCATCCTCAACACAGAAAACATCCCTCTTCAACCCAACATTTATTCAAACTGAACCAACAAGTATCTGAGCTGCTCAGTGTCTTTTTAGCAATCCATCCATCTTAACAGACCGCTGCGTGAGCCCGGGCAGCAGCGTGTAAACCCGACGACTCCGCATTTTTACAAACTCAAACTGAGCATTTTTTTTCGGTTGCAACAAAAAGGTGCGAGCAAAGCCGCGTAGAAAAAACAACTGTGCCACCGGTGATCTGCTTGTTTTTGACTCAAAGCACAGAGCTGTCTGTGTGCTGATTGAAACTGTAAGGTTAATGGATTTTAGAGTAGGCGCCCGCTCCACTCTGTCTCCCTGTAATACACTCCCATCAGCCACTTCATTAGGCAAACTCTTTGCCACTCCGAGGTAGAAAAAAATGAAGTGAGGAAGCAAAACGGAGACCACGAGATGAAGACAGATAAAGTCAGAGAAAGGCAAAGAATGGGATGAGAAAAATCCAGGTAATCCTGCTGGATTAAGTCGAGCTAGGGGTGGCAAATACCTCCAACAACTCAATAGTTTCAACATGGCAGCTGTGTGAACGGGAGCTGCAGATGGGGTAGATAATAGCATCCGGTTCTTTACCTGGGGTAAATGTCAGAGCCATGCAGCCACTTTGAGACAGCAGAGAACACACACGAGCACTGTTTTAGAAATGTCCCAACACCCAACACCAGCCATGCTACAGTGACAAGCACACGCATTAAGCCCTATTAAGCCAAGGGCATTGCCTAGACACTTCTGTGGTGCTAAATGGGAGAGAAAGCCTGTAAGGCAGCCCGGCTCCGATATCAGAACTCGTCTTTGTGTGTTTCTGTGTGTGTGTGTGTGTGTTTGTGTTCTCTTTTTCTGTGTCTTCCTGAAGGAAATGTAGGACTGTGACCCAAAGAGGGACTGAAATAAAGCCCAAAGTCTAAGAATACACACACACTGTCCTGTAATATGGATTCATTCCAAACAAAATCCAAAACCTTGAATTTGTCATTGCACTAGTAATGACCAAGAAGTCATTATTATTTTTATTTATTAGGTAGTAAAGCATCAATTGGAGCTGTCATCTATACAACAGAAGGAGCATCAGTGATAGTTTCTCTAGGTAACATAGAAGCAGTAAAATTAAAAATCATTTTAATGAATTTTATAATAAGTTACCGAAAATGATTATTTATTGGATTTAGAAACATTTAATGTATTTAAAGGACTGAATTGCCTTTTTAATATACTTCCCTTAAAGAACTAACAATCTATCCAAATATTACATACTACAGTATCAATATAAAATTAGTGCACTTTCATTGTATTCAAGGGCAAATTTGTTTATATCTAACTTTTTGTTTTTATTATTTGTAAATGTTGTGCGATAGAATGTTACAGCATTTTTAATATGGTGAATTAGTAAAATTTCAAAGATAAATAGGAAATTTTACAAATTTCATGATTATTGAAAGGTTTACCAAAAAAAGCTGATGTAAGTGTTTAACATAGCTTGATG